GCAGTGAACACTGTAGCTGTGAAACTGGAGTGGTGAACATGTTATGCAATGTGAAACTGTAGCAGTGAACACTGTAGCTGTGAACACTGTAGCAGTGAACACTGTAGCAGTGAACACTGTAGCTAGTGAACACTGTAGCTGTGAACACTGTAGCAGTTGAACACTGTAGCAGTGAACACTGTGTGCTGAACACTTTAGTGTGAACACTGTAGCAGTGAACCACTGTAGCTCGTGAACACTGTAGCAGTAAAACACTGCTACAGTGTGAACACTGGTAGCAGTGAACACTGTAGCTGTGAACACAGTAGCTGTGAAAAACACTGTGGCAGTGAACACTGTAGCTGATGACACACGGTAGCAGTGACACTGTACCAGTGAACACTGTAGCAGTGAACACTGTAGCTGTGAACACTGTAGCAGTAGAACACTGTAGCTGTGAACACTGTAGTGTGAAACATGTGGCAATGAACACTGTTAGCATTGAACACTGTAGGCTGTGAACACTATAGCAGTGAACACTGTTGCTTGTGAACACTGTTGATCGTGAAACTGTAGCTGTGGGAACACTGTAAGCTGTGAACACTGTAGCAGTGAACACTGTAGCTGTGAACACTGTAAGCTTAGGAAAACACTGTAGCAGTGACACTGTGGGTGAAACACTGTAGCAGTGATCACTGTAGCTGTGAAACACTGTAGCAGTGAACACTGTAGCTGTGTACATGTAGCGTGAAACTGTAGAGTTAACACGGTAGCTGGTGAACACGGTAGCGTGAACACTGTAGCTGTGACACTGTAGCTGTGAACACTGTAGCAGTGAAACACTGTAGCAGTGAACACGGTAGCTGTGAACTGTAGCAGTGAACACTGTAGCAGTGAACACTGTTAGCAGTGAACACTGTTAGCAGATGAACACTGTAGCTAGTGAACACTGTAGCTGTGAACACTGTGCTGTGAAACACTGTAGCAGTGAGTGAACACTGTAGCTGTGAACCTGTAGCTGTGAACACTGTAGCAGTGAACACTGTAGCTGTGAACACTGTAGCAGTAAACACTGTAGCTGTGAACACTGTAGCAGGAACACTGTGCTACGTGAACACTGTAGCTGTGAACTACTTTTTTTTGGGTTGGCAGGAACATGTAGCTGTGAAACTCTGTAGCAGTGAACACTGTTGCATGAACACTGGTAGATGTGAACATGTTTAGCAGTGAACACTGTAGCTGTGAACACTGTAGCTGTGAACACTGTGGCAGTGAACACTGTAGCAGTGAACACTGTAGCTGTGAACACTATAGCAGTGAACACTGTAGCTGTGAACACTGTAGCAGTGAACACTGTAGCTGTGGAAACATGTAGCTGTGAACCTGTGCAGTGAACACTGTAGCTCTGTGGAACACTGTAGCTGTGAACATGGTTGCTGTGACAATGTAGCAGTGAACATGTAGCCGTGGAACACTGTAGCAGTGATACACTTGTAGCAGTGGAACACTGTAGCAAGTGAAACTGTAGCTAGTGAACACTGTAGCTGTGAACACTGTTAGCAGTGAACACTGTAGCTGTGAAAACACTGTTGCAGTGAACACTGTAGACTGTGAACACTTAGCAAGTGATCACGTAGCAGTGAACTCTGTAGCTGTTAAACAACTGTAGCAGTGAATACTGGAGCAGTGAACACTGTAGCATTTGAACACTGTAGCAGTGAACACTGTTTGTAGGTGAACACTGTAAGCTGGTGAACACTGTAGCTGTGAAACTGTTGCTGTGATACACAGTTAGCAGTGAACACTCGTAGCTGTGAAACACGGTGGCTCAGTGAACACTGTAGCAGTGAACACTGTAGCTGTGAACACTGTAGCTTGTGAACACTGTAGCAGTGAACACTGTTGCACGTGAACATGTAGCTTTGGAACACTCCTCGCACTGAACACTGTAGCAGTGAACACTGTAGCAGTGAACACTGTAGCTGTGAACACTGTAGCAGTGAACTATGTAGCTGTGAACACTCTAGCTGTGAACACTGTAGTTGTAGACACTGTAGCAGTGAACACTGTAGCTGTGATCACTATAGTTGTGAACACTGTAGCAGTGAACACTATAGCGTACATGTATGAGTGTCAGGTCTGCAGGGTAACAATAAAGTGAACAACTGGTCTGAAGTGTAAACTAGAAGTGAGGAGACGGAGGTAAAGCGACGCTCTTCCCTGACAGGTTTTACAAGCCTCATATTAATTCCCGATCCAATTAAAATTGAGAGAATTTGAGTTAATTAACCGATTACGATACCAAAGCTGGTGAAGTCTAGGAGCTCTCTCTCTCTCTCTCTTTCTCTCTCTCTCTCTCTCTCTCTCTCTCTCTCTCTCTCTCTCTCTCTCTCTCTCCCCTCTCTCTCTCTCTCTCCCCTCTCTCTCTTCTCTCTCTCTATTCTGCTCTCTTTTTCCTCTCTCCCTCTATTTTGCCTTCTTTTTTCGTTTTTGTCCATTCTTCTCACTTTTAATTCCCCTCTCACTTAAGTCCCTTCCCTTTTATTCCCTCACTTTTTATTCCCTTTCCTTTCTCCCTTTCGTTAGCATTATTGTTATTATATTATTATTATTATTATTATTATTATTATATTATTATTATTATTATTATTATTATTATTTTATTATTATATTATTATTATTAATTATTATTATTATTATTATATTATTATTAATATTTTCTGTAGAAGTTGTATAAATACTGGTAGTAGTAACATTAATATTAATTTCATTAATTATTGTTGTCTTAATTGCTTTTATTAATAGTTATTTTTCTGTTATTTTTATTATTGTTATTGTTGCTGTTATTTATATTACTTTATAACTTATTATATATTATTTTATTATTATTTACTAATAACATTATTTTATTATTATTATTATTTACTAATAACATTATTATTATTATTATTATTATTACTACTACTACTATTGTTATTATTATTATTATTATTATTATTATTATTATTATTATTATTATTATTATTACACTGGTCAACAACTAAAATGCTTCCGAGACCAGAGTAGCAATTTCCAACTAATTTTAAGTCACTGATAATGAATATTATGGTTAAAATTGTTTGTTAGCTCTACTAACAAACAATTATTATTGTTCCAGCAGTCACAGAAGATGGTTGTTTCTTACCACACTCACAGTCTGACTGACCTTCATTATTGTTCCAGCAGTCACAGAAGATGGTTGTGATGTGCAAGTTTATATTTTAAGGTGAAAAGTCGGTGATTTTCTTAGCTAAACATTTTTTAAACTTATAATAAATATTCATATACATGTGTGGTATATTATATTAATTTTATTTCCTACTGAATGATATAAATACTTCTGCTAAGCTGGCTTGCTCTTTATTATAATGATAAATTAATGAATAATTTTTTGTTTATCTTCTAATTGTTTGTTGTTTTCTTCTTTCAGAAGCCTCGTACTTGTGTGACTATGACAGACAACTTCTGCTACATTTGTGGTGAGGTGACCTTTGCATCACAGAAGCCCCGTATAACTGCTATGGTGAGGAAGGCATATCACCTATATTTCGGATGCAAGATTGGTGACCAGGATAAGAACTGAGCTCAACACATATGCTGCAACAATTGTGCTACTAACCTTCGCCAATGGTTGAACAGGAAGAGGAAAGGAATGCCTTTTGCTGTGCCAATGACATGGCATAGCGACGTTAAGATAAGAGAGGGAGTCTTCAATGGTCCTCAGATTCGAGAGCTTCTTAAAGACGGTGACTTTGAAACAGACCTTCATAGGGAGGAGAAAGCTGCTTGGGAAACATTCAAGTTAGTTGCGAAGGGATTTCTCGGAAACATAAGGGAAGGAAACTGTGACGAATTGGTTAAAAACCTCATCAAGGCTTACAAGAACATGGGATGTAAAATGTCACTTAAAATCCACTTTTTGGACTCACATTTAGACTTTTCCAGTGAACTGTGAGGCAGTTAGTGACGAACATAGTGAAAGATTTCACCAAGATATTTCAACCAAGGAAAAATAATACCAGGGCAAATGAGGCACAAGAATGCTTGCAGACTATTGCTGGACATTGGCAAGAGATGATTCTTCAGCCCACTATAACCGTCAAGCAAAAAGGCAGAGAGTAGGTACGGATTAGAGTTTAAAACATTCTGACACATATTGTACGTTTTAATAAAATATTTAAATATTACATGTCTCGTATCTTTAAACCAATAAGCATTTTTCAAGCTGATATTTGTATTCAAGACATGATAATATATAACAATTAGCTAATCTCATTTAAGAAGCATACAACTTTTCCAAAAATGTTGACCAAATTATTATTATTATTATTATTATTATTATTATTATTATTATTATTATTATTATTATTAGTAGTAGTAGTAGTAGTAGTAGCAGTAGTAGTAGTAGTAGTAGTAGTAGTAATAGTAATAGTAGTAGTAGTAGTAGTAGTAGTAGTAGTAGTAGTAGTAGTAATAGTAGTAGTAGTAGTAGTAGTAGTAGTAGTAGTAGTAGTAGTAGTAGTAGTAGTAGTAGAATAACGACTAATGATATTTTAATTTAAAACTAATTTATGAAACTAATATTAGATAATACACCTAAAAGTCATAATATATAGAATAGTAAAGAATAATAAAGATTATAAAATAAATAATTGAAATTTAGTTTATGTCACTTTAGGAACAAAATTGAGAAGTTATGTTTAATTATATTTGTAATTACACTGGCAGCTGGGATTGGCACCTAGAGACAGTGCCAGTGTTCATCAGTGGGAGTGCCTCAGCTCCCCCCTCCCACTGATGAACATTGGCAATGTCTCTCGGTGCCAATCCCAGATGTGGCACTCACCTGTGGGAGGGGGAGGGTGCCACTCTCCTCTGGGAGAGGGGAGGGTGCCACTCACCTGTGGGAGGGGAAGGGTGCCACTCTCCTCTGGGAGAGGGGAGGGTGCCACTCACCTATGGGAGAGGAGGGTGCCACTCACCTGTGGGAGGGGGGAAGGGGGAAGCCGTCCAGAAGCCAGGTAATGTGGGGTGTCGGAGTGCCAGTAGCTATGCACTTGAGCGAGACAGCTGGTCCAGGCTGCAGTGTCTGCTCGATGAAGCGATACACTAGCTGGGGCGCCGCAGCTGGTGAAGGAGACAACAAAAACAAAAAATTAGGAACAGTATAGTCCTTGCAGCTGGAGTAAGTCTAAAACACATCGATTACACAAGGGTCTTTAAGACTGTGTATCACCCGAACACTACCAGACAAGAATGTATTACTTCCTAAAATACTAATCAGAGTAAGGTCAATATTTAGACCCACACACACACCCCACACACACACACACACACACACACACACACACACACACACACACATACACACACACGGATACCATCTCTCCATGGGTCCTTGCAGAGGGAGCAGAGGAGCTATGTGAACCACTAACAACAATCTTCAACACATCTGTCGAAACAGGGCGATTACCTAAGGTATGGAAGACAATAAATGTAGTCCCAATTTCTAAAAGAGGAGACACACACGAAGCATTAAACTACAGACCAGTGTCACTGACATATATAGTATGCAAAGTCATGGAGAAGATTATCAGGAGAAGAGTGGTGGAGCACCTAGAAAGGAATGATCTTATCAACGACAACCAGCAGGGTTTCAGGGACTGGAAATCCTGTGTCACAAACCTACTGGAGTTCTATGACAGTGTGACAGCAGTAAGACAAATGAGAGATGGGTGGGTGGATTGCGTTTTCTTGGACTGTAAGAAGGCATTTGACACAGTTTCACACAAGAGATTAAGGCATAAGCTGGAGGACCAGGCAGGGATAACAGAGAAGGCAGTACAATGGATCAGGGAATACCTGTTGGGAAGACATCAGCGAGTCATGGTACGTGACGAACTGTCAGAGTGGGCACCTGTGACGAGCGGGGTTCCACAGGGGTCAGTCCTAGGACCTTTGCTTTTTCTGGTGTATGTAAACGACATGATGGAAGGAATAGACCCCGAAGTGTCCCTGTTTGCAGATGATGTGAAGCTGATGAGAAGAATTCAATCGGACGAAGACCAGGCAGAACTACAAAGGGATCTGGAGAGACTGTAGGCCTGGTCCAGAAACTGGCTCCTGGAGATCAACCCTACCAAGTGCAAAGTCATGAATATTGGGGAAGGGCAAAGAAGACCGCAGACGGAGTACAGTCTAAGGCCCAGAGTGAATATAACGCCGGGCACATCTCCTGAGGCGAACATCAACCAAATAACTGCTGCAGCATATGGATGTCTAGCAAACCTAAGAACAGCATTCCGACATCTCAATAAGGAATCATTAAGGACCCTGTACTCCGTGTATGTCAGGTCCATATTGGACTATGCAGCATCAGTTTGGAACCCACACCTAACTAAGCATGTAAGGAAATTAGAGAAAGTGCCAAGGTTTTCAACTAGACTAGTCCCGGAGCTAAGGGGCATGTCCTACTAGGAGAGGTTAAGGGAAATTGACCTGACGACACTGTAGGACAGGAGAGATAGGGGGGATATGATAACGACATATAAAATGTTGTGAGGAATGACAGAGACAGGATGTTCCAGAGATGGGACACAACAACAAGGGGACACAGTTGGAAGTTGAAGACTCAAATGAATCACAGGGATGTTAGGCAGGATACATACATAGCTTTAAGAAGAGGTATGATAAAGCTCATGGAGCAGGTAGAGTGATCTAGTAGCGACAGTGAACGAGTGGTAATGTTCAAAAACAACACTTCGACTAGCCAAGGAGTCGAACTCATGCTGCTTTGGCCCACCTCATGATGAGCAAAAACTCATGACGCTTTAGTCCAGGCGACCATACAATCCTTTGTTAGCTCTAACTCTCTCAGATACTCCTGACTTAATCTCATTTATTTCTCCCCACTGAAACTCCCCAACCCCTTTCAGCTTTGTTTCACTTAGAGCCAGGACATCCAACTTCTTTTCATCCATAACATCAGCAATCATCTCTTTCTTATCATCCGCACAACATCCACGCACATTCAAGCATCCCAGTTTTATAAAAAATTTCTTGAGGTCCCGTGGACTAAAGCGTTATGAGTTATCGTTCACAATGTGGCGGGCCAATCAGCATGGGTTCGACTCCTTGGTTAACCGCAGTGTTATGTATATATATATATATATATATATATATATATATATATATAATATATATATATATATATATATATATATATATATATATATATATATACATATATATATTTAGAGAGAATGGATCAAAGTAGAATGACATGGATAGCGTATAAATCTGTAGGGGAAGGAAGGCGGGGTAGGGGTCGTCCTCAAAAAGATTGGAGGGAGGGGGTAAAGGAGGTTTTGTGGGCGAGGGGCTTGGACTTCAGCAAGCGTGCGTGAGCGTGTTAGATAGGAGTGAATGGAGACGAATGGTATTTGGGACTTGACGAGCTGTTGGAGTGTGAGCAGGGTAATATTTAGTGAAGGAATTCAGGAAAACCGGTTATTTTTATATAGAAGAACTTGAGTCCTGGAAATGGGAAGTACAATGCCTGCACTTTAAAGGAGGAGTTTGGGATATTGACAGTTTGGAGGGATATATTGTGTATCTTTATACGTATATACTTCTAAACTGTTGTATTCTGAGCACCTCTGCAAAAACAGTGATTATGTGTGAGTGAGGTGAAAGTGTTGAATGAAGAAAGTATTTTCTTTTTGGGGATTTTCTTTCTTTTTGGGTCACCCTGCATCGGTGGGAGACGGCCGATTTTCTTTATATATATATATATATATATATATATATATATATATATATATATATATATATATATATATATATATATATATATGTCGTGCCGAATATGTAAAACTGGTCAATTAGCAAGAACTCATTTAAAATTAAGTCCTTTCCAAAATTTTCTCTTATACGTTTAAAGATATATTTTTTCATTAATGTTGATGTAAAAATTTATAATTTTGCATCAAAAGGAACTTAGAAAACTTACCTAACCTTATTATAACAAGCGCAATTTATTTTAGCCTAACCCAAGTAAATATATTTTAGATTTGTTTACAATAATTTAATACTAAACAAACACAGTGAAATATATTTTTTTTCGTTAGGTTCAGAATGATTTTGGCGAAATTATTGCATACACAAATTTTCACTTGTCCTATATGGCAAGATGATCGTTGCTATTTATGCTAAGATCGCAAGTTCTGCCTATTCGGCACGACATATATATATACATATATATATACATATATATATATATATATATATATATTATATATATATATATATATATATATATATATATATATATATATGTATATATATATATATATATATATATATATATATATATATATATATATATATATATAAATTTATTTATTTAATTATTTATTTTATTATTAAGACATCGGCCGTTCCCCACCAAGGCAGGGTGGCCCGAAAAAGAAAAACTTTCACCATCATTCACTCCATCACTATCTTGTTGCCAGAATGGTGCTTTACACTACAGTTTTTAAACTGCAACATTAACACCCCTCCTTCAGAGTGCAGACACTGTACTTCCCATCTCCAGGACTCAAGTCTTGCCTGCCCGTTTCCCTGATCCCTTCATAAACATTATCCTGCTCACACTCCAACAGCACGTCAAGTCCTAAAAACCATTTGTCTCTATTGGCTTCTATCTAACACGCCCACGCATGATTGCTGGAGGTCCAAGCCCCTCGCACACAAAACTTCCTTTACCCCCTCCCTCCAATCTTTCCCAGGCCGACCTCTTCCCCGCCTTCCTTCCACAACAGATTTATACACTCTCGAAGTCATTCTGTTTTGTTACACCCTCTCTACATGTCCGAACCACCTCAGCAACCCCTCCTAAGCCCTCTGGATAATAGGTTTGGTAATCCCGTACCTCCTCCTAATTTCCAAACTTTGACTTCTCTGCATTATATTTATTTAATGCAGAGAATGCACCACACATTGCCCTCAGACATGACATCTCCACTGCCTCCAGCCTTATCTTTGTTGTAACATTCACCACCCATGGTTCACACCCACATAAGAGCGTTGGCATAACTATACTCTCAAACATTTCCCTCTTTGCTTCAATGAACAAAGTTCTTTGTCTCCACAGACTCCTTAGTGCACCACTCATGTTTGTCCCCTCGTCACTTCTATGATTCACTTCATCCTTCATAGACCCATTTGCTGACACGTCCACACCTAAATATCTGAATATATTCACCTCCTCCTCCATACTCTCTCCGTCCAACCTGATATACAATCTTTCGTTGCCTATTTTTTTTGATATCTTCATCACCTTACTCTTTCCTATATTCACTTTCAATTTTTTCTTTTATATACCCTTCCAAACTCATTCACCAACCCCTGGAATTTCTCTTCAGAATCTCCGAAAAGCATCAACAAAGAGCAAAAGTGACAACTCTTATTTTGAGTGAGATTCTTTATCTTTTAACCCCAAACCTCTTGCCAACACCCGAGCATTTACTTCTCTTACAACCCCATCTATAAATATATTGAACAACCACGGTGACATCACACATCCTTGCCTAAGGCAAGGATGCGTGATGTCACACTCTACCCTTCCTAAAGCTTCCTTGTTCATCTATCCTAATTCCGTCTTGCTCTTAATTTTTTCAATAATAGTTCTCCCATATACTTTGCCAGGTATACTCAACAGACTTATGTAAATATTTTTTTTAAGATTTTTAAGGACAAAAATGGTTAATTATACCATAGAATGCACAGTGTAATAGTAAACTAAGTGTAAACTCTTTGAATAACACTGAGAAAACCATGAACAACAGAGAAAAGTAACATTTCACGAGTCCGTTCCAGAAGTAGCAGCCTCTCCATGCTTCACCACACTAGGACTGCGACTTCTCTTACAAAACTTTTTAAACCATCCTCTACTGGCTTTAAGTTCATCACTTTCTGCACTCGTAGAAGGGTAACTCTGCCGCAAATCACTGTGTATCATACCTCCTGGCTTTCTCGCATACGATCGCCTCGCTTATGCTATCACCTGCAAGTTACTTCTCGTTCAACCACTAGCAACAGTTTCCTCACCTCTTCCAGCACTTGAGGCCTCTGCTTGGTTAACATCGTAACTCCCTTAGCAACATTAGCTGCTTTGATAGCCGATCTCTGCCTCAGAATACCCGGGATCGTAGACATCGGCTTCTCGAACTTCGCAGCAAGACTGGTAACACACACACCATGTTCATATTTTTCAATAATTTCCTTCTTCCCTTCTATTTCAATTTTCTTCAAAGATTTCTTTTTACCCACATTACCACTCTTCACTTGCTTAGAGGCCATAGTTAATTGCAAAGTGAATTCAAAAACATACGAAATACAACACAAGAAGTTCACAGCGAATGACAACCCGTCTGACCAAGACCGACTACAAGGTGGGTATACACAACTGTACACCTCGCCAATTTTCCCCAACAGGAAGTGGGGAAAATTGGCCCATACGAGAAAATGGCGCAGAATGTGAAAATTGGAGCGGCTATGTTTGTTCGGCACCCTATTATGTGTTCGTGACCAGATGCAAAAATTTGGCTAATTTTTTGGTCGTGAGCCGATTTGCTCGTGTTCGGAAGCGTTCGTGACCAGAGTTTCCATGTATATAATATATATATATATATAAAAATATATATATATATATATTATATATTTATATATATATATATTTATATATATATATTTTATATATTTATATATATATATATATATGCAATAAGATCACAGTAAACAGGTGATTTCAGAATATGCAAAACAACCCTCTGAAAGAATAGAGAAATTTCAAGCGCTTTCGTGACTACTCACATTATCAAGGAACTATAAAGTAAAGCATCCAAGGAAGCTATATAAGGGGTCGGCCAGCACCTCACTATCAGATCCCACAACGGTTAAAACACGTGACGCGCGCCGACCCAACTTGGATAGGTCCTTTCACAACTCACCCACAAACTATTCTACCCAAGAAAATTTAAAAATTATTTGTCCAGTGTATTTATAAATTCTTCCCAAATTCTATTAATTATAAAAATTAATCCATTTATAATTAATAGAATTTGGGAAGAATTTAATAATACACTGGACAAATAATTTTTAAATTTTCTTGGGTAGAATAGTTTGTGGGGTGAGTTGTGCAAAGGACCTATCCAAGTTGGGTCGGCGCGCGTCAGGTTTTTAACCGTTTGGGGATCTGATAGTGAGGTGTTGGCCAGACCCCTTATATACCTTCCTTGGATGCTTCACTTTCATAGTTCCTTGATAATGTGAGTAGTCACGAAAGCGATTGGAATTTCTCCATTCTTTCAGAGTGGTTGTTTTGCATATATATATATATATATATATATATATATATATATATATATATATATATATATATATATATATATATATAATATATATATATATATATATATATATATATAAATATATATATATATATATATATAATATATACCCCCTTGGGGTATTTATACAATCTCTCTCCAATTTAAAAAAAAGTATTCTCACCTGAACATTCACTCCATCAATGCAAAGCAAGTTATACTAATTTCCGAAATTATTATTTTTTTTCAATTTGCTTCTCAACTAACTTTGCAACCTAACCTAACTAATCCTTACGGGAGGAATAAATATTTTTGGAGGGCAAAATATAATATTGCTAAATTTACTCATCAAAGAATTTGCATAATTTTAATTAACCTCTTATACCTTGTTGCGAAATTTCAGGTAACACAAAAGTTTTATTATGGAATTAGGTAATCAACTATTCTATGAGATATTTACCCAGCTAACCTTTCCTGGAAGCTGGGGGAGTATGAGAGCTGAGTTAGCTGGGGGGAGAATATCAGCACTTAGCTTGTAGAACTGAAGTGTTGAGGCAGGAGAGATGCTGTAAGCTTGTGCAGAGGGATGAGGTAGGATAGCAGCTATTAGCTTGTAGGATAAGCTGAGGTAGGATAGCTTTTGGTTCTTATGTTGTAGAAATGAGCTGACGTATGATAACAGAGCTTACCTTGTGACGTGAGCTGTGGGAGGATAACAGATCTTGTACAGTTAGTTGAAGCAGAATAACAGCTTGTAACTTGTACAGGGAGAGCGAGAGAGTAAGGGAGAGAGAGAGAGAGAGAGAGGAGAGAGAGAGAGAGAGAGAGATAGAGAGAGAGAGAGAGAGAGAGAGAGAGAGAGAGAGAGAGAGAGAGAGAGAGAGAGAGAGAGAGAGAGAGAGAGAGAGAGAGAGAGAGAGAGAGAGAGAGAGAGAGAGATACAGGGAGAGAGGGAGATACGACAGACAGAAAATCCAGTGTTTTAATCTTTATTCCCGTTTATTGCAGCCTTTCAAAACAGCACACACGTTCCCAGTCTTCCAATCAGATTGAAGAACGGAGATGTAACGCCGCCGGTGCTGTGGCAGGCAGAAATCCAATCTGGATTTAATCCCAGACACAGAGAGTGCTCGGAGCGACGGAAAAGAGTAATTCCTGGCTATCACATGGGGGGATTTTTATCGGAGTGCTGTCACGTGTGTTTCAGAGAGGAGGGGATTATGTCTGTAACTCGTTCAGGTTAGCTGAAGGGGATTTTGTTTAGTGTCTGGAGGGGAAGGAGATGGCTTGTGTGTGTGTGTGTTTGTGTGTGTGTGTTTTGTGTGGGGGTGTTTGTGTTTGTGTGTGTGTGTGTGTGTTGTGTGTGTGTGTGTGTGTGTGTGTTGTGTGTGTGTGTGTGTGTTGTGGAGTGTGTGTGTGTGGGTTTTTGTGTGTGTGTGTTTGTGTGTGTGTGTGTGTTTGTGTGAGTGTGTGAAATATAACTTTATTCTGTGTACAAACATGGTGAGAACAATAATGAACTAAAAACTCTTAAATTGGTTCAGAGATCTGAGAGAGAGAGAGAGAGAGAGAGAGAGAGAGAGAGAGAGAGAGAGAGAGAGAGAGAGAGAGAGAGAGAGAGAGAGAGAGAGATAGAGAGAGAGAGAGAGAGAGAGAGAGATCCACTTCGAGGACAGCGTGAAACAAGCTTTTATGCCACAAGACGGGCAGAAAGCAGCAACTTCACTCTGGCTGTACCCTTCTCCAGAACATCACTCCATCTGAGATCATACTTACCCAGGATGACTCGAGTATGGAACACATTCGTACAGGATAATGTTTTCAACGAGATAAAGTCAGTTGATCAAATGAAAATGCTGGCCCACAGATGGCTCCAACTTCATCCTGTTTCCTACTTGTATGTCTCATAACAATAAAAATGCTTTCAAATGAGCTGATGTAGGTAACAGCTCTTAGCTTGCCAATAAAGTTAGGAATCCTTAACCTGTAAATAGCTTGTCAATAAAGCTAGGGATCCTTAACCTTGTCAAACCCTGTGTAAAAAAAAAAAAAAAAAAAAAAAAAAAAAAAAAAAAAAAAAAAAAGAGAGAGAGAGAGAGAGAGAGAGAGAGAGAGAGAGAGTCTATCTATCATAGTAGTACATGGGAAAGACAGATAGTAGAGGACTACGAAATCTACATCGACGTGGCAATTTCCTGAGAACTATCTACTACTGAGATCAAAGACTATTTTGCAACATGCTGACGTACGTGTAAAGAACAGACACGGAGAAGGAGATAAATATATCACGGTGAATCTATCTCAATCAATACATTCCTGTATGACACTAGAGTGATCAACTGGAACCTCTGCGAGTTTACACCACCAGTTGTCGAGTGGTTTGCTTTAATGAGGTTGAAACCCTATCGACTAAACTACGGTCATTAGGGCTGCATTGTAACACTTTCACCAGCAAACAAGAAAACTTTAATCCCGAAAATAGGGATTTAAAGTAAACTCTCATCATACACACACTAAGAGATATGTCCCCCTCGGTGTACACAACCTGTGATGCACAACGGGACTAAACGTAAATAAAAATGTCAGTGGAAATAGTCTTACATTATCCACTTCAATGTAAAATAATACGAGAAATCAGCGGTAATTCTTGTACAGGTGTTTCCCATCTCTGAAACATCCTGTCCCTATCCACCCTGTCTATTCCTCTCGGTATTTTTATGTCATTATCATGTCTTCCCCTTTTTCTATCCCTCCAGTCCTTCAGTGTCGTCAGGTTGATTTCCCTTAACCATTTTCTTTCATAATAACGTATTACTTAAGAACCCTCCCTGAGCTCGTACCGGATGATTCTTGAACTTTCGTTATTGAGAATAACACATTTGTTGTCAGTTCCCGCATTTAGCTAGTATCACTGTATTCTTTCTGCTACCGTCTAAGGGATGTTATAGGGACATTATCTCACACAGGATGAGTATGGGTTGAGTGACCTAGGCGTGGGAGTGGGTATAGGCGTGAGTGATGGCTCACCTCCCAGGGTAACGTAGGAGTGGGCGTGGGCGTAGTCTTGGGCGTAGGTTGCAGCACATTGGTAGATACCAGCGTCAGAGGCGTGTATGGGTGAAACGTGCAGCGTCTCTCTGGGTCTGATCCTCGCCCGACCACCTGACCTGCAGAGTGAGAGAGGGAGTAGGCTCAGCGCTCACCTTCATGGTCACCTTCATGGTCACCTTCATGGTCATCTTTATTTTCACCCTCATAGTCACCTTCATGGTAACCTATATAACTTTCAAAATTGGTCACCTTTATTGTTTAAATAATAATAATAATAATAATAATAATAATAATAATAATAATAATAATAATAATAATAAAATAATAATAATAATAATAATAACAACAATAATAATAATAATAATAATAATAATAATAATAATAATAATAATAATAATAATTATTATTATTATTATTATTATTATTATTATTATTATTATTATTATTATTATTATTATTATATTCAAAGAGAAATGCTTAAACCATAAGGGTCATAATACGCCTGGGGGATGGGAGGGGTTTTGGTAATCAGGTTTGATCCAAGGAATGAGATTATGGTTCCAACTCTTTAAATGAAAACCTTCCTTAGTCTCTACCTCCCCCTTTAAAAAAGGGGAAGGGGTCCCCCTGTGGGGAAGGGGTCATCCCATGAGGGGGGGGGAGGTCACCCCGTAAGGGGGAGGGGTTACCCCATGAGAGGGAGGGGTCACTCGATGAGAGGGAGGTGTCACCTCATGAGGGTGGAGGGGGTCACCCCATGAGGGGGGGGGGTCACCCCATGAGGGGGAGGGGTCTCCCCATGAGGGTGGGGGGGGTCACCCCATGAGGGGGAGGGGTCTCCCCATGAGGGTGGAGGGGGTCACCCCATGAGGGGGAGGGGTCACCCCATGAGGGCAGGGGTAGATTAGAAAAAGTTGAAGGTAGGTCAGTAGTGGAGAGTAAAGTTTGGTAGTTAAAGGTCAATGGAATGGAAATTTTAGGAAATGGAATGGAAAAAAAAGGATGGAAAGGGGACGAAAATAAAAAGAAAATTTAGCTGGTAGAATCCAATAGTATTAACGATTGGTTAGAGATAGTTAAAAACGGGAGTTAATGAGAATAAAATGACATAGCTTTCATTTTGTCTCAAAATTTATTACTTTTAAATATACTAGTTTATAAAATACAGGAATTCTGTGAAGGTTCAATTTTTTTTCTCCCTCTCCCCCCCCCCATCTTTTTTTAACCAGAAGACGGGATAATTGTCTTACTGAACAAACAGAACATTCGACTCCTTTGGGCCCGACCTAATGTTATATTTGTCTTTATTTTTCCTCACTAAATACAGACTTTATCGAGGCTGCTTTACATAAATATGTTAAGTTTTATTTATGTGGGATCTTCTTAGCCAAGAAAACAAAACTTTTGGGTACACAGAATAACGGATGAGGAGTCAAACAGCGGGTCATGAGAGTAACAACGACCCCATTATTCCATTCAAACCGTAAATGGTACAGCAAGGGGGAGAGGGGGGGGGCTTTTTCGGGGTTGAATGAAACAGTTCTGGGTGTTCTCGCATGGACCATAGTTTTGGGGTTCCCGTTCATTCTTCCGTTTATTCATTGACAGTCGTACAATACAACTTATTTTGGGTTTTTTACAGTGGGGTTTATTAGCCATGCATTGTGAATTGAATTTCATGTGCCCCCCTTTTCCCCTATGTAAAACATCTAGAAAAGATATCGAGTCATTTCATTCAACTTCCACTGTAAAAAATTATGACTGGATCTAGTCTATCATTTTATGGAGAAACTTTCTCTTCGGGCTAAAAGCACAAGACATCATCAGAAATTGTATACTATTTTGAAATAGAGAGAAGTCTACTTAAAAGATTGATTTAAAACAGTTTATCTAAATGGTTCTCAGAACCTCGGAAAGAGGATTCCCCATCACCATACCAAACTTAAAGACGTAGAAATCATCACTGAATGCAAAGTTGGCGTTGCTCTCAGAATATAATTATTTTATCGTTGGTGGACACACACACACATATTAGTAAGCTTAGGAGACTCACCTGAGCACGTTACCGTCCTTGTACCAGGTGACGGTGTCGACAGGTTCTCCTGAGATATGACACCTAAGTTCCAGTCGACCCCCAGCGTCTACCTGCACCTCCCGCGGCGTCACCTGTAATATGTCATATACCTGCATCAACCTGTCTAAAACATGTGACAACACTTGTAATGATGCATCAACTTGCGAAACACCTGAACTAAATACGTGTATCACTTACGCCAACACGTTGAACACCTGTATTAACATTTGTAGCTCCTTCATCAACATCAGCAACATTTGCGTCAACACGTAAATCTTATTTTATTACTAGTATTCAGATGAAACACCTGTGATGATCCCTGACACCTGCATGTCTAAAACTAACATGTTTAAACTTGGTCGGATGTGGATGAATTTCTACAATTTATATCTGACCTTTTACAAGGATAATGAAGATATTTGCTTAAACTGTCTGGTATCTTATTTTAGCTCATAAGATACCTTGACATATTCCTCTGTACATGGACAATAATGCACACAGTGTCCAAGAAATTTACCCTAAAGCTAACCACATACTTTGCATTTAATTTATTCATTATCCGTGTGTATCTGTTGCCAGGCCTAAGCTTCGCTACCACGTCAGTCTGTTTACATTTCAAGTCACTTCCTAGCAACGTTTATCTACGTTTAGCTTATGATAGTGAGATATAGATCCAACACCAGGGCTTCTAACCTTCATTCATGTATATTTAAATTAATTATTTTACACAGGTTTATTTCAACTTTCACTTTTTAACAAGCTTCATCTATTACAAATAAATCAACGTTGTGATGGATTGCATACAAAAGGTACATTAATTTATTTTTGCTAGATTCATTATGTTATTATAGTGCTTTCATGGATGATCTAGGATCAGTAATGGTCAAAGGGTCTAGGTCAGTGTCAAGAGTTAGCTTTAGGGTCATTAGGATGGCAATTAAATCGCTAATTCTTATGTCTAATTCAACACAGTAACAAGAGCACTTATCCTATGGAGGTTTCAACAAGGGCAGACGCTGCCCTGCCAGAAGAAACCTGTTTCATAAGAGTATATATAATTTGCAATATATTATTATTAACAGCAGCGAAGCGATGACTGTCTTCTTGAGCAGTTGGTTTTGCAAATAATTTAAGAGATTAATGGCTATAAGCTCCTTGGTATAGACTTCAGGATATGCGATTTTAAATGAGCTCAACTCCCAAGCTGGGATCAAATAATTCTTCTTGTCTCTAACGATACAGTTCGTGCAAGTTATGGAACTTTGCGTGACTGCATATTTCCACAATAAAGTTAAATATATCTTAAGTTACACTTAAAAGTAAATAATCTTTAATTAAGACGTTTGTCGAGATAAATATTAAGATTTATGGTGACAATGTCTGGCTCATTTCACAACAGTTTTGTCTATTTTGAGAGAGAGAGGAGAGATGGAGACATGTATGGAGACTAAGGGAGACTCACCTGGACAGAGAGTGGAAGGGTGACCAGCAGGTGGGCGGTGTATCTGGTTTCTCCTACTGTGTTGTTAGCAACACAGGTGTACTGGGCGGCGTCAGCCACGCCCACCCGTCCCAGTACCAGCGACCCGCCCACCAGCCATACCCCGCTGCTCCCAGTGACCGGTGTTGACTCCCGTACCGACCTACTCAGTACATACCACAGAACCGGGCAAAGAGCCCGGGCAGGGTACCGAGGCAGGATACCGGCAGGACACCGGCAGACATACCGGGGCAGGATACCGGGAGGATACCCGGCAGGATACCGGCAGGACACCGGGCAGGACACCGAGCAGGGACAACGTCAAGGACACGAGGGCAGACACCGAGCAGACACGCGGGCAGGACAACCGGGCAGGACAACCGGGCAGACAACGGGCAGGATAAGGGGGAAATTATAAGAATAAATATAATAAGTTTAGTCACTGGAAGACAACTGTTGCTGTGACTGTTGCTGTGAATGTTGCTGTGACTGTTGCTGTGCTGTTGCTGGTGACTGTTGCTGTGACTGTTGCTGTTGAATGTTGCTTGTGACTGTTTTGCTGTGGAGCTGGTTGCCTGTGTATGTTGGCTTGTGACTGTGCTGTGACTGTTGCTGTGACTTGTTGCTTGAGACTGTTGCTGTGACTGTTGCTGTGACTTCGTGCTGTGACTGTTGCTGGACTGGTGCGTGACTGTTGCTGTGACTGTAGCTGGTGACTGTTTGCTGTGACTGTTGCTGTGACTGTTGCTGTGACTGTTGCTGTGACTGTTGCTGTGACTGTTGCTGTGACTGTTGCTGTGACTGTTGCTGTGACTGTTGCTGTTGAACTGTTTGCTGTGACTGTTCCTGTGACTGTTGCTGTACTGTTGCTGTACTGTTGCTTGTCTGGTGCTGTGACTGTTTGCTGTGACTGTTGCTGTGACTGGTTGCTGTGACTGTTGCGTGACTGTTGCTGTGACTGTTTGCTGTGAACTGTTGCCTGTGACTGTTGCTATGACTGTTGAGGTGACTGTGCTGTGACTGTTGTGCTGTTGAACGTTGCTGTGACTGTTGCTGTGACTTTTGCTGTGACTGTTGCTATGACTGTTGCTAAGACTGTTGCTGTGACAGTTGCAGTGAACTGTTTGCTGTGACTGTTGCTAGTGACTTTTGCGTGACTGTTTCTGAGACTGTTGCTGTGACTGTAGCTATGACTGTAGCGTGACGAGTTTCTGTGACCTGTTTGCTGTGACTGTTACTGTGACTGTTGCTGTTGGGACTGTTGCTGTACTGTTGCAGAGACTGTTGCTGGACTGTTGCTGTGACTGATTGCTGTACTGTCTGCTGTGACTGTTGCGTGACTGTTGCTATGACTGGTTTGACTGTGCCTGTTGCTGAGTACTGTTGCTAGTGACTGTTGTCTGTGACTGTTCTAGTTACTGTTGCAGTGACTGTTGCTATGACTGTTGCTGTGACTGTTGCTGTGACTGTTGCTTACAGTTGCTGGACTGTTGCTGTAACTGTTGCTGGTGGCTGTTGCTGTGACTGTTGACTGTGACTGTGTTAGAGTGACTGTTTGCTGTGACTGTTGCTGTGACTGTTGCTGTGACTGTTGCTGTGACTGTTTGCTAATGACTGGTTGCTGTGACAGTGCTGTGACTGTTTGCTGTGACGGTGCTGGTGACTGTTGCTTGACAGTTGCTATGACGTTGCTGTGACTGTTGCTGTGACCTGTTATCTGTGACTGTTGTTGGACTGTTGCTGACTGTTGCTGTACAGTTGCTTGTGACTTGTTGCTGTGACTGTTGCTGTGACTGTTGCTGGTGACTGTTTGCTGTGACTGTTGCTATGACTGTTTTGCTGTGAAACTGAGTTGCAATGACTGTTGCTTGTGACTGTTGCTTGTGACTGTTCTGTGGACTGATTGCTGTGACGGGTTGCTGTGACTGTTTGCAGTGACTGTTTGCTGTGACCTGTATGCTGTGACTGTTGCTAGACAGTTGCTGTGACATTTTTGCTGTAGACTGGTGTCTAATGACTGTTTGCGGACTGTTGCTGTGACTGTTGCAGTGAACTGTTGCTATGGACTGTTGCTGTGACTGTTCGCTATGACTGTTTGCTGTTACTGTTGCTGTGACTGTTGGCTGTGATTGTTGCTGTGACCTGTTGCGTGACTGTTGCTATTACTGTTGCTGTGACGTTTGCTGTGACTGTTGCTGTGACTGTTGCGTAAGACTGTTGCGTGACAGTTGCTGTGACTGTTCTGCTGTGACGTTGAGTGGACTGTTGCTTGAGACTGTTGCTAATACTGTTGCTGTGACCAGTAGCTGTGACTGTTGCTGAGACAGTTGCTGTGTCTGTTGCTGGGACTGTTTGCTGTGACTGTTAGCTGAGAACTGTTGTGTGACTGTTGCTGTACTGTGACTGTGACTGTTGCTGTGACGTATGCTGTGACTGTTGCTGTGACTGTTGCAGTGACTGGTTACTGTGACTGTTGCTGTGACATGTTCTGTGACAGTTGCTGTGACTGTGTGCTGTGAAGTGTGTGTCTGTGACTGTTGCTGTGACTGTTGGCCTGTGACTGTTTCTGTGACTGTTGGCTATGACTGTTGCTATGACTGTTGCTATGACTGTTCTATTACTTGTTGCTGTGACTGATGCTATTACAGTTCTATGACTGTTGCTGAGACTGTTGCAATGACTGTTGCTATGACTGTTGCTACGACTGTGCTATGACCTGTTGTTAGACTGTTTGCCATACTGTATGCTATGACTGTTGGCTATGACTGATGCTATGCGGTTTTGTGACTGTTGCTAAGACTGTTTGCTTATTACTGTTCATGACTGTTGCTATGACTGTTTTGCTAGGGGGGGGGGGGGGGGGGGGGGGGGGGGGGGGGGGGGGGCCTGTGCAATGACTGTTCTTGACTGTTGCCATGACTGTTTGCTATGACTTGTTGCTATGACTGTTGCAAAGACTGATTGCAATGACTGTTTGCTATGACTGTATCTGAAGACAGGTTGCTAAACAGTTCTATGGACTGTTGCTATACTGTTGCTATGACTATTGCTATGACTGTTGCTAAGACTGTTGCCATGACTGTTGCTATGACTGTTGCTATGACTGTTGCTATGACTGTTGCTATGACTGTTGCTATGACTGTTGCTATGACTGTTGCTATACACAAATAACCCGCACATACAAGGAGAGAAGCTTACGACGACGTTTCGTCCACTAGGAACCATTGCCAAATTCCTCACACTAACCAGAAGTGGAGCTAGGATGGCTCATGTGTGCGGCGTCTGGTTGTCTTTGTTGTGGACGTTTTCGTCGCCATCCAGTGGCTTGCTGTATAGGCGAAACGTCTACGATATGGATGCCCGTGTTGCGCAATGTGTCTTAATTTCATCTTGTCGGAATTATATACAATTCTTGTACTACTACTACTACTACTACCACCACCACTTCCTCCTTTATATAGCCGCCTGCTCCACTTCTGGTTAGTGTGACTTTGTAACTGGTCCAATCGGACCGAAACGTCGTCGTAAGCTTTCTCTCTTTTATGTGACGGGTTATTTGTGTATCGTTCTCATTCACGGTAATAGTGCCTTTTTTTGTTTACTGTTGCTATGACTGTTGCTATGACTGTTGCTATGAAACTGTTGCTATTACCGTACTATGACTGTTGCTATCACTGTTGCAATGACGAAGTTGCTACGACTGTTTACTATACTGTTGCTATAACTGTTGCTATGTTTTAACAATGCCTCTGTTTTCAT